GCGGTAGGGAGCACCTAATGGAGGACTGCACTGTTCAGGGAGCCACACTGCTGCCCTGCCACCCCTTGTGGCGCGCAGTGGGGAGCACTGAAGCGAAGAACAGCAGCAGCCGCTGACGTTTTCTGATCCTTCAGCAAGCACCAGGCCTCATGCTACCTGTCACCCCATATTATCAGTATTATTATCATCCCATATTGATGAAGAAACAAAAAGTTAAAGAGCTGATGTAATTTGCTTCTCTTTTGCATCCTCTGCCCCCCTTAAACACGAGGAACAAGGGACAGGGAGATTTGAAGTTGAGACCACCTCCGCCCCGGGCCTGGCTCTCAATCTGGAAGCTCTAAGCTCTGGGGAGCTAAACAGTTCTGCATAATAAAGTGGAGGGAGTTTGGCTGGCGATGGTTTGCAAAGACAGACTCAGGGCTGCCAGGCATTCTTCAGGGGGAGTGAGAACTACGGCCCCATCAAAGCCCTCCCCAAACATGTAGCACAAATGCTATACACGCATGTGCTGTCAAGATGCTTTGTAAAGCTATCATTTTATTCAAGAGATCCCAGAAAAGTTGCCGATTTTTACATTTGGAACGATGTGACCTGAACCAAAGAAAAGAGCACAGCCACGAGGAGACGGAATGTGTGGGATGGAGACTCTGTCGCACTTGGAATTTCAAGCCCATCTGCAGAAGCAGAAGACACCTTGAGAGGATAAAAGCTCCCGGAATTAACAGGCATCTTGGCTGTGTTGCCAAGATGGGGTGGGGCAGGACTCCTCACAGAACATGAAAAGGAGACAAGGAATTAAGCTTTTGTTCTTTAACCTTAAGCTCAAGGTGGACTCAGGTGTCATCTGGGCACAAAAATAAAGAATGGCTGGGAAGGGGCGGTCCCTGCTGCTCTGGCTCCTGTTGGTCAACAAGGGCCTCTGGGAGGCAGCAGTAGACACCGAATGAGACAGACAGCTGACACCATTTACAGAATCGGCCCATACCACTTCTCCACCAATGTGGTTGGTTGGTAAAGTTCCTCTCTTTCGCCAGCGCCCCAGACTGCACAACAGAACACATGTGCCTCCAGATACAGGCACGCCTCATTTTACTGTGTGTCTCTTTACTGCACTGCACAGACACTACGCTTCCTGCAAAGTTCTGTGGCATCCCTGCATCCAGCAAATCTACTGGTGCCATTTGTCCAACAGCATGTGCTCACTTTGTGTCTCTGAGTCATGTTTTGGTAATTTTTGCAATGTTCCAGGCTTTTAAATTATTATTATATCTGTTATGGTAATTTGTGCTAAGTGATCTTTGATGTTACTATTGTAATTGTTTTTGGGCACCCTGAACTGAACCCATACAAGATGATGAAATTAATCGATAAATGTGTGTATCCTGATTGCTCCACTGACCGACCATTCTCTCGTCTTGTTCCCTCTCCTCAGGCAACCATACTCCCTGAGACACAACAATATGAAAATTAGGCCAGTTAATAACCTACAATGGCCTCTAAGTATTCAAGTGAAGAGTCACACATCTCTCACTTTAAATTAAAAGCTAGAAATGATTAAGCTCAGTGAGGAAGCCGTGTTGAAAGCCCAGATAGGCCAAAATGCCAGGCCTCATGCCCCAAGCAGTTAGCCAAGTTGTGAATGCAAAGAAAAAGTTCTTGAAGGAAATTTAAAATGCTGATTCAGTGAATATATGAATAATTAGAAAGCAAAACAGCTTTATTAGTAATATGGAGAAAGTTTTAGTGGTGTGGATAGACGATCAAACCAGCCATACCATTACCTTAAACCAAAGCCTAATCCAGAGCAAGACCCTAACTCTTTATAATTCTATGAAGGATGAGAGAGGTAAGGAAGCTGTAGACAAAAAGTTAGAAGCTAGGAGAGATTGGTTTATGAAATTTAAGGGAAAAAGCTGTGTCTATAACATAAAAGCATAAGGTGAAGCAGCAAGTACTGATGTAGAAGTTGCAGCAAGTTATCTAGAACATCTAGCTAAGATCCTTAATGAAGGTGGCTACACTAAACAACAGATTTTCAATGTAGATGAAACAGACTAATATTGGAAGAAGGTGCCATGTAGGACTTTCATAGCTAGAGAATAGAAGTCGATGCCTGGTTTCAAAGCTTCAAAGGACAGGCTAACCAGAGGCCAATGTAGCTGGTGGCTTTAAATTAAAGCCAATGCTCATTTACCATTCTGAAAATCCTAGGGCCCTTAAGAATTTATGCTAAATCTACTCTGCTTGTGCTCTATAAATGGAACAACTAAACCTGGATGACAGCACTTCTGTTTCCAGCATGGCTTACTGACTCTTTTAAGCCCACTGTTGAGACCTACTGTTCAGAAAAGAAAGATTCATTTCAAAATACTCCTGCTCACTGACAATGTACCTAGTCACTCATGAGCTGATGGACATGTATGTGAAGTTTGAAGTTGTTTTCATGTCTGCTGATACAACATCCATTCTGCAGGCCATGGATCAGGGGGTAATTTCAACTTGAAGTCTTATTATTTTAGAAACATTTTTGTAAGGCTATAGCTGGATAGTGATTCCTCTGATGGATCTATGAAAAGCAAATTGATAATCTTCTGGAAAGGATTCACCATTCTAGATGCCACTGAGAACACTGGTGATTCAGAGGAAGATGTCAAAACATCCACATTAACAAGAATTTGGAAGAAGTTGATTCCAACCCTCATGGATGACGTTGAGGGGTTCAAGACTTCAGTGGAAGAAACACCTGCAGATGTGGTAGAAACAGCAAGAGACCTGGAATTAGAAGTGGAGCCTGAAGTTGTGACTGAATTGCTACAACCTCATGATAAAGCTTGAACAGATTAGGAGTTGTTTCTTACAGATGAACAAAGAAAGTGGTTTCTTGAGATAGAATCTGCTCCTGGTGAAGATGCTGTGACCATTGTTGAAATGACGACAACAAAGGATTTGGACTATATATAAACTTACTTGATAAAGCAGTAGCAGGCTTTGAGAGGATTGACTCAAATTTTGAGAGAAGTTCGACTGTGGGTGAAATGCTACCAAACAGTATCGCATGCTACAGAGAAAACTTTCATGAAAAGAAGAGTCAATCAATATAGCAAACTTCATTGTTGTCCTATTTTAACAAATTGCCACAGCCATCCCAGTCTTCAGCAACCACGCTGATCAGTCAGCAGCCATCAATGTTGAGGCCAGACCCTCCACCAGCAAAAAGAGTAGGGCTTGCTAAAGGCTCAGATTGTAAGCTTATTTTAGCAAAGGGTATTTTTCAAATTAAGATGTGTACCTATTTTTTAGTTATAATGCTATTGCACACTTAATAAACTATAGTGTGAACATAACTTTTATATGAACTGAGAAACCAAAAGTATTGTGTGACTCATGTTATTACCACATTTGATTTACTGCAGTGGTCTGGGTTTGAGCCTGCAATATCTCTGAGGTATTTCTGTATTTATTCAGCCATTCAACAAGTATTTATTGAGTGCCTAGGGCACGCCTAGCAATGTCCAGGAGGCAAAGATGAGCTGGAGGCAATCCAGGCTGTCTGGCAGAGGAGATGATTGCAGGTTCCATAATTCAAGAGCAATCTAGGTGAAGTGCTATACTAAACACGAAGGGACATAAAAGTCAAAAAAGAAGATATTTCTCAGTAGGATAATCAAAAACGACTTCCTGGAAAAAGTATCATGTGACCTAAATCTTACAAGAATTCCAGCTGCAAAAAGGGCAGAGCGGGTGTTGCCCTGTGGGCAATAATAGGGCTGGGGATTTGTACAAAGTGTCTCCTGACAGCCACCGACAGCTACCAACGCCACAGCTATCTGCACAAAAATATGGTGCAAAGTGAAGGCGGCAGACAAGGAGGTGGCTCCACAGGGTGGTCCCCCCCAAACATGTGTAGCTGAGGGAGACCCTGGAGAGAAGACAGGGACACAGCAGAGACCCCAAAGACAATCCTTCCGGAGGCTCCCAGGGTCTTGAATTCAGAATCAGGGCACACTTCTGACAGCACACAATAGACTCTGCTCCTTGTGAGCACCTTGTGACTTTGCCGAGGTCCCCATGTCCCTGATTTTCACCTTCTCTGTTCCAGTGGGTGATCCACATGAGAACGAGGAAGAGTCTGAGGGCATTCCGGGGCGCTGAGCTCCCCAAGGCAGCCAGCGCTGTGCCAGGGCCAGGGCAGCAGGAAGTGGTGACTGCCCATTTCTTTCCCACCGCTGCCTTTTACAGGAGACCCGAGCTCCGACACTGGGGGAGAAAAGCGGCTGTGTGGTAGGGTGGTGCCAGAAAGCTGCGCAGAGAGGGGGCCTAAGATTAGCACACAGTAGGACGAGGCTGGCAGTCTCCCAGCACTGACTGCTGCCTGTGGCACAACCAGCCCGATCAGCACATCTACACAGAATGTGCTGGCAGGGGAGGAGAGGGTACTGGCGGAGAGGTCAGAGCACACAGAAATAGCAGCTGCCAGTGAGACTGGCAACACGGCCACTGGTCCAGGAGGCAGACTCCTCCCCTGCTGGGTGTGGGCCACCAGAAAGTGAAGGGAAACACTCCACTGCTCACACCACCCAGACTCGTTGGCCCTGGTTCAGATTGTAGACTCACTGAGCTCCTTCTGGTTATAATTTGATGCATCTTGATTTTTAGAAGACTACACCCTAAGAGTTGAAATTTGCAGCCATTCAAGCATTCATAAAACATTCCTTCTATAAATTAATTAATTGACACATTGAGTGTGTGTACACAAACACAGACTCATGCCCATTTTGTTAGCAGGTGTTTCAACAGCCTGGGAACATTTGGCTTCTGGTTAAGGTGCAGGTCCAACCCTGAGATGGGGCTGGAACCAGACATTGGAAGGCTCTAGGTAAAGGCATGGATTTCCTGGTGCCCAGCACCTCCCCCAGGACCTCTGCTGCTCGATTCACACAGCAGTCCAACCCCCATCCTCACCAGGGGAGGCCGCTGGGGAACCTATGTAGAATAATTAATTCTCCTTGGGCTCCTGTGCTCCTGAGCCAGGTTTCCAAAGGTAGAGACTGTTCCATCTGAGGTCACAATGGCCCATCAGGTGTGGGGAGTCAAGACAGGGGAGGACACCTGCAGAGACATCTGGGCTTCTGATTTGCCAGGTATCACATACCTGAGACAGTTGTCCATATAGGGAAAGAGTCCCCAGCATTTCTGGTTACACCATGACAGATGCCTATGGATGCCATAGCCCTGGGATATGGGATTTAATGGAGAAAGCTCAGGTATTGAGGAGGAAAACCCAAGCATGTTCTCATTCAGAATTCTCCAGTCCATGAGAACTGGAACTCTCTGAGGCATACTGTATAACTGTATAACTGTGAGTTATTTTGTTTAATTATAGTTGGTTTGAACTACGGTAGTTCATCAAACTCATTAGATAAGATAAAATATCTTGAATTAATACCCCACCCCGTGTGTGTGTGTGTGTGTGTGTGTGTGTGTGTTTATGTGTATATGTGTGCATGTGTGTGCCTTATAAATGCCTTTAGAAGAATTTAGGATGAGCATGAAGAAACATTTAAGTAAGAATTGCATTCAAAGCAAAGGGTCTTTCTTAAAAAGAATCTTACAAACAAAAATCACCTGAATCAAAAAGTCATTTACTCATCTGGGCTTCTTTTAGGGATCATAAAACCCTTTGATAAGCTAATGGAATCACAGGCCACCTCCACAGAACATATGTTCTCTGTGTCTGTGTGTGTCCCAAATCAATCAGCACGGGACACTGAAGTCCACCAGGGCGCACATTCTCCCCTGCTTCAGATGTCTTCACAAAGTGGGAGCGATGCTGATGAGTGCAGTCCCACAGATTTGTAAGCCACTTGTTTAGGATGTGTGTGATGTTTTCCCATTGGAAAAAAATATGACAAAAAGGTTGTTAGGTTTTACCCCAGATTATAAAACTCTATTTCTTGCGACAGTCAGAAGCCACGGTTCCTGGATGGGAAACCAGGGCTGGCCCAGGCTCTGTGGTTTGGAGCCAGAGTGCTGCGGTAGCTGTGGGTGAAGCACGAGGTGGGGACATGGCAGGGAGCCCATGGGGGTGGGGGGTGAGGAAAGTACTGCTGGCCCTAGTAGCTCTAGGAGAAGCCCTGACTGCTGGAAGTGGGGAGCAGGCATTATTGCATATGATCTACCCACAAGTCAAGCATTTATACATAAGTGACTGTCCTCCCAAAATCTCCTGAGAATATACAAACAGCGGCAACAATAATGCAACAAAATGAAACCTCAGCTCATCTTTAGGTGTATAATTCACACAGCTTGGATAAATTGCAGTAAGATATATAAACAACAAAGTTTCTTCCTGCTCATACAAATCTCTTGGCATTTATCGCATTAAAATGACAAGAATACGTATTTGAAAGTGGAAATATTGCTCATTATTCTGCAATTAAGTAATTGACTAGATTCCTCAGCACAGGAAATGAAGAAAAAATTTACTATCCCTGAGAAAGAAATGCAATCTCTAAACCAAATTTAAATATTTAACTGCAGCTGTGAAAACCACAGGACACCTGCATTTGCATCTGGTTCAGCAAGTTTATGATACAAAACCTTGCAGGTAAGTTGTTCTCAGGTCAGAAAAGATGGAAAATTGTTCTGAGAAGCTTACATAAGCCCTAGGTGGTGGTGACTTCTTTTGCAGGCACTTTTACAACTAAGGTCAGGCTTGGGGGGATCTTGACATTGCTATTAACAAAATTTGTTTAGGAAATTCTAATCTATTCCATTTAATGACCTAAAAATAAATACCTACTATTACAGCTCTCTCCTCCTATAACAGACTTGGATGGCATGTAGGTTTCCATTTGTTGACTCTGTATGGTGTGATGTCTGGTAATAAAACATGGCCCACATGCTTCTGCTTGCCTCTTGCTTCAAGGATTCACTGACTGTCTACCATAGGCCAAGAACCACACTGGGTGCTAGGCACTCATAGATAAGGAAGACAGAATTGGTACCTTTAAGTAGTTAGCAATCTAGTGGGGAGAGAGAAAATTGAGCTAAAGATTAGAGCAGTGGAGAGAAGCAGCTTTGGAATCCATCATGCCCAAGTCTCAAGTCAGGCCCTACTGGTCTGGCAAGTGTGGGGAACCACCCCACTGTCCCATGTTGGGTTATGGCATCTGTGAAGACAGCCTGTCACACACTCTGCAGTCCTCAGCACCAGGAGGGCACAATATGATGAGTCAAGTATACAATAATGCAAAAGAAGTGTATGTTTAAGGGTCACCTCACTGAGTCCAGGGCCAGCAGCTGAGCATGCTGGGGTGCAAATAGACAAGCAGTTCACTGAAATGGTTCTATCTTCTGATAGCCTTCATACCTGCCCAAAGGCTCATGGTCTGTCTTTCTTCACTCATCCAGCTAAATGTGAAATTTATTCAGAAGATGAACTAGTCACCTCTGTATGAAATGTAGAAGGGCTGGTGAAAATAGATATGTCTCCCAGGACTTTAAAGCCATCTGGAAAACTGGCAGAGGATAGGAATTATTTTGAAAATATGCTTTTCTTTATAAGTATGCAAAGACACCATAGATGTTTTTCTGGAGTCAAATAAGTTTAAAAAGCAAAATGATTGTACTGACCTACACTCAAAGGACAAATAAATTGTGGTATCAGAAGAAACCGGGAGGACTGAACCTAAGTCAAGGAGAAACAGGGTGTGGTGGAGCAGGATGTGTCAGAATCCCGGGTTGGCACCCTTGCCATGTGCCTTACTTGGGAAAGTTACCTAATCACTCTGAGCCTCAGCCACCTTTTGTGTAAAAAATGAGACTAAAAATGCTCATTTTGCAAAAGTGCTACAGCCATTAATTGAGCTCATAGTGCTCAGCACAGTGCTGGACTCATAACAGGCATTTGGAAAATTCTACTTTCCCTTCCCTCATCACAGAGCAGGACCAGCCATTCCTGAAAGAAGACCCTCCAGCACTCAATGAAAAAGGACCCTCTTTATCCATGGAACCCCCCTCCCCTTTGTTCTGCAGCAAGCACACACCAAGCCACAAAGGTAAACGTGCTCTGTTTTCCTAAGATACAAAGTAAAGGAAACTCAGCTTAATGCTTTAGTACAGAATTCTCAACGCTATCTGAAGTAGCTTCACCCTTTGCTTCTCAAGTCCCAGGTTGCAGCTTCTACTCGATATCCAAATGCAACACAGGCACAAGCCTATTTCCTGAAATGTATCAGGTCAGTAGATTTTTTTCATAAAACTTCTTTTTTGCTGTGAATTATTTTGAAATTACAAATTAAAATTAAATAGAGATTTGTAAAATAGCCATGGTGCTAATCGAAATGGAAACACTGCCAGCCATCCTGCCCAAGCCTGGCCAGCTATGGCTGACCCTGCTCTGGGCCACCCTGCCAGAGCTCCAAGGCTCGCCTCCCACCCACGACTTCCCCTTTGTGCCTTGGGAAAGTCCATTTTACAGTCAAATGACCCTTCCATATAAGGAAAACTCTCACTAGACAGCCTCTCTGCAGCTTTCTTTCCTTGTAAATTGTTGCCCTACTATAGCCTTTCTTAGGGGTGGTTACCTATTCTCCCACACAAGGCACCAAGGAGCTAAGTGACATAAGCACCCCCCACCCCTTTCCCATTCCTGATCAGCCTCCAGGTCTCTGTTCTTCCATCAGTCTTTCTGTCTCATTCTACTTTCCTGAAACTATGATGAATGGATCCAGCTTTGTTCTGAACCATTACATCCAGAAGCCTCACATGCAACTTAAGATCAGTATGTCCAAAAATCAACTCATTATCTTCCTACCCCAAATCTGTTTCCCATTCTGTACCCCCATCCACCCACTCACTCAACCAAACCAAAAACAGAAGCAGTGTGCCAGCCTCTTCTTTCTTTCTCACTCTAACCACAGGCATTCATTCAGTCACTATGTCCTGTTGATGCCATTTCCTAAAAGTCTTCCATGCCTAGCATGGGATCACGAGGTCAGCAGCCGCAGCAGTGAGGGCTGGAGTGTTTCCACTGATGTCGCCATGGCAGCAGATTAGAGCATGGGCTCCTGGACTCCCAAACTGTACCCGGGAAGAATACTTACCCGCGGTGTCTAGAGCACGCCAGGTCTGACACCAGACTCAGACACGGTGTGGGTAAATTAGAAGAATATGTGGGATGACCAGATGTCTCACACTCTGTGTGGGAACAGATGTTCCAACTCCACACAACACTGTATGAATGAACTTTCGGAACATGCTGGTAAACCTGAGAGTCACTGCGTATTTTCCTTTATTTTAAAAGAGTGTTTATCTGAATAATACTCATGAAATAACCAGGCAACATGTATGTGTGTTTGTGTGTATGCCTAATCAGATCCATGGTTTTATTTTCCAACACCTATTTTCAATGAAGAGGCTTGCGAAAGGGAATGCAATGACTCCCAAACATATCATTCTTCCAAAGGTGCTCTGAGAACTGGCTGCTGAAACATTCACATTGCTTGGACAAGGCATCCTCAGTCTCCCTATATTTGAGAAGTGCTTGCATGACTTATGCCCATTCTGATTGTGTGGTGTTTATTAAGTTAGATGACACCTTTGTGCTCTGCCCTTGCTTGAGCAGAAGGCCTGCAGAGGATGACCATGAGGTTAAGAATTCTAGGTTCTTAAATAGTGACGATCATTTCTTTGGTGATCTGGTTTACAGAGTTTGCATTATCAGATTTGCTGAACTGAGTATCACTTAAAATGACTTCTCCCTGAATCCCTTCAAGAGAGCAGACAAGGCAAAAAAAAAAAAATGTTACAGAAGGAAGGGCATTAATTTATTATAAAATAAAGAATGAATATTTCTGCTTTAAACCAGGACTCCTCCTATACGCTTACAGTGTGAGAACTCAATTGCATTGACCTTTTGATTTTATATATGTGCCTCTATATCAGGATTTATCAATGGATTTCCTCACCTCTAAGACAAATCATGAGAATTAGTGATGTCACACATTTTAAAGTACTTTCAATGTCTGAGAAAATGTACTATTTTTAGACATCAAGCCCATTCATTTCTGAGATCATGTCTATTTCTGGTTTCTTTTTAGCACTTAGGAGGTTATTGCAGTTAGGGAAATCACAATATTAACAATAGTGCAACTGCATATAACTGAAAAATATTAATATTAGTTTGACAGCTGTTTTCTGAATTGCTACTAATCACAACAGAAATACTCGAATGGACATCTCTGCATAGAATTGCATAAAGTAGTCTTATCCTCTGGGATACTGTAATCAAAGCCTTGGTAAGCAGAGAGAAACTATGAAATGGGTTTTCATACACTCCACCAAGCACAGTGCTGAAGGAGGGAGAAACCCAAGTGTTAACCTTCAGATGGGAGAGTAATGGTACTTTATTCTTTTGAACAAATGACCCTTTAGTTTCATTTTGCACTGGGCCCCAAAATTTATGTACCTGGCCCTGGCTATGAAGAGTAAACTATCCTTTGTCTCTAACCCATGAGATTCATGTCTTCTTCCAGGATCCACAAAACTGTGGCAAGATAACCTGTGAGCATACAAGCAGGGCACTATCTCAGACTCTCCCCTATTCTTGACACACACTCCCCTGCTCTCCTCCTACCTAACTGGTTCATAGAGTTGCTGCTCTATGAACAGAACTGTTGCTCCCTCCAACTCTTTCTTTTCTTCTTAAAATGTTAGAGAGCCCCAGAGCCCCTCATTCTATACCACCATCCACCCACTCACTCAGCCAGCCAAACCTCCATCTCTTCTCTATCTGCACTCACTCCCTTAGTGATCGCCTTTAGTTTTGTTGCTTTGCATTCCATCTGTATGCTCAGAATTTCAAAATTTTATCTTCAATCAAACTATATAAATCAAACTCCAGAACCAACCAAACACATACAATTGGAGCTGCTGATTTTACCCACAAAACTGACCCACTTGCAGTTTTCTCGGTTCACACAAGAGCATTACCTCTTTGCAGTTACTGATGCTAAAGTCCCCAAAGGCATTTTTCACTCATTTCTTCCCTCACATTCAACACCAATCCATCTGAAATTCTGTTGATTCCGCATGAAACCCAGACCCAGGTTCCAACACACCTCAGCACTGCTGTTGACAGGACCCTTATCAAACCCACCTTCTCCCTCCACCCATACTCTAGGAGCCTCCTAACTGATTCCCCGCTCTTCTCCCACGGCACTGTTCTCGAAGAGCAGCCAGCGTGATTTATTAACAATTTAGGACAGATCATTTGATCTTCTGTTCAAAACCAGACAATGGCTCCCTGCTTCACAGAAAGCAAAGCCAAGTCGATGTGCTCTGGCCCACTTACCACCTCCCTGACCCCATTTCTTGCTGTTGTCACCTCTGCTCAGTTCTGGCAACAACACCCTCTTTCTTGCTCCTCAAACATCCCAGACATCCTCCTGCCCTGCATTTGCTGCTCCTTCTGGCTCAAACCCTAACAACCTCCTGGCTGACTTCCTCACTTTGGTCAAGCCTTTGCTCAAATTCGCCTTTTCAATGAGCTTTTCCTGAGAGTGGAAGCTGCAACCTTCACCCACTGCACCTTACCATCCTTTTAACCCTGACACCGGGATCATTATATTCTAGATGATATGTTTATTTATTGCATTTATTTATTATGATTCTTTCCTTTCTAAAACATCAGCTGCATGAGCACAAGAAGTGTAGGAACTCAGTCTCTTTGGTTCACAGATGTATGCACAGCACCTAGGATGGTGCCTAGCACAGACCAGGACTTGCATAAATATCTGCAGAACAAGTGAGTACAAGTTCTGTGTGACCTGGGCTGCTGGCATAACCTTTCAGAAAAAACCTGTATTTGCTTTCACAGGCGTTCCAGATTGGTTGATTAGCCTTGGATCATTTTCAGTGAAAATTCTCTGTACTTTAAAGCTAAACCTCAAATCCAGATCAGACAGGCATTTGATACAAATTCTCAGAGCAGATATATTCCTGGCCACTTGGAGCCCAGATGAGACAGACTCATTCCCTTGCTACTGCCCTTTGATAGTTGGGTATTTGGTCTAGAACCCCCTTCACTGTGTAGCCCTTTGTGTGCAGCAGCTCTGTGAAGACTCCATTTCAACCCTCTGCTTTGTGGGCCTTCCTTGTTCTCTAGTCTCCTATTTCCACCTGGCCACTAACACCAAGCCACTTGGTTCCAAGGGCAAATGATCACAGGCCTTCCAGCCCCCACATGTAGCTTACTATGCTTTCATTTTCAGCTTTCTCTCTGAATGAATCTCTTTCCTTAGGGATTTCTATTATTTTCCCATGAATTAAGTGATACAGTACTTAATCAAGTGATACAGTATAATGATGTACATTATAATTTATTTGCCATTTCCATTTGGCATTTATTTGCCATTTGGCTTTATATGGAGGGTTCTTTAGAATTTGTAATCAACTATATTTCTGGGCACAGGAGTCTCCACGCCTTATCACTGGGGGCTTGCTTTTTTCTCTTGCTTGGTCCCAGCAAGGTCATGGAATGACCTCCAAGGGGAATTCTTGTCCTCATCTGATTCAGTGTCTAGGCAGATGCAGCATAGCTGAGAGCCCATTCTCCCTAAGACTCTGGCAGCCTCTGAGACACCCACTCCTCTGGCCTCTCCACCCCACCAACTGCTCTGCTCAGGGTCTCCAGGGTGGCCAATGCCTCCCACTTAGATCCAGGTCTAAAATGTTAGATGGCCTCAGCATGATCCCTGCTTCTTCCCTCCACCAAGCTGGTCTCATGCATTCCTAAGACGTTTAACAAAATCCACAGCAGATGACTCCCAGTTCTGTCTGAAGGGCAGAGACCCTCTGAGCACTGACTCCTCATCCAGCTGCTCTCTTGACAGCTCCACTTTGTAGTCTCTTTGTCATCTTTATTCTTTTTCTTTCCTTCTTCCCTAATCTAGTTCCAAGACCCACTCTAGCTGCACTGAGGTAAGGCCCTCGGTTGGTATTTCTTAGAAGCTCTATTTGCATTTCTTATTTTTGCAGGTAATCAGTTCTTACACCATTATTATACATTCTGGTCACTATTTTGATTTAAACCTTTCACAATTATTCAAATCAGAAACTCTATTTCTTAAAATCAACAATCTGTATTGAGAAAACATTCACATGTGTACTGAACAGGCCCCTCCACACTCTGCCAGGGACTGGGGAGAGTCTGTTCTGGGTGAGATGTAAGAACACAGTCTTCCACTTGCTTCCGGGATTCTAGCAGATGCCAACATGGTCTTGCTGTAAACCGCTTCAAACACATTTGAACAAAAACCATCAATTCCATGCCAACATTTGACATGAGAGTAGGAAGACACAGGTTGTGGCTCTGGCATCACAAGTGTTCAGAAGGGGCTCGCTGCAGCACAGGTGTCTGAGGACAGCCTCAGAACAGGGACCTGCCTCCATCCAGAGCCTCATGCTATAAATAGCCATGGCCACCAACCCAACATGTGCTGTTAACTCCAAACTGTTTCAGTAAAAGTAAGAATAGAAAAGAATATTTCAGAATACAGTCAGCCTTCCTTATTTATGGGTTCCATGTTTATGGATTCGACCAACCTCAGATAGAAAATATTTGGGGAAAGAAAGATGGTTGTGTCTATACTGAGCATGTAAAGAATTTTTCTCTTGTCATTTTCCCATAAACAATACAGTATAACAGCTATTTACATAGCATTTACATTGTATTAATATTTGGTATTATAAGTAATCTAGAGATGATTTAAAGTATACACAACAATATGCACAGGTTATATGCAAATACTATGCCATTTTCTGTCAGGGACTTGAGAATCTACGGATTTTGGTTAGGTCCTGGAGCCAATCTCTCCAAGATACCTAGGGACAACTGTATTCGGTACACTTTAACTTTGCTTGCTTATTTATATCATTTTGTAAAGAACATTTCTGTAGCATACATTGTATTCATATAGAGGTGTGGTGTGTTCATATAGTATTATATATTCATATAGAAAGCCATTACTCCAAGGATATTCAGACATTCTTGTACATTCAATTTCTTTTTGCTGTTGGGTAACGATTATGTTTATTTTAATTCCTCTAATATCTGTTCCTGGTAAATGTAAACAGATGTTTCTAATTATTTCCTTTCAGTGCTGATATATCGTACATACAGATGGAGGATTTAGGTTTCAGAAAGAGAAGGTGAAATGTTTGTGGAGCCAACAGGAGTCACGAATGGATGATTTTGGTGGTAAAAATGCCCATATTTTGGGTTGAAAATTTGATAAATAAACAAGAACTATTAAATTGCTCAAAAGGAAGAACATTCTTTTAACAAAGCAAGGGCACTCCCTCAGCTGGGAGGTCTTGTTAAATTTAAACATAATATCTGACACTATTCATATTCAAATGAGCTCAAAGGAGTTACCAAACAGCAACACAGTGCCATGGACAAGCCACGCCAACTGGAGGCTATTGAAAGCAAACTTATGTAGCATCCAGATGGTGATTTAAAACAGCAAAAGGTCTCTATTCACCAAGGCACTGCTTAGAGCATCAACTATCAAGTTAATTGTACATTTTCCTGATTTTGTGAGTAATGTTGCATATTAAAATACAGGTTTTCCATATGTGAGTTGTCTCCAGTTGGATAGCAGCTAGGCTATTTTTAGTGTGAGAACAATAATTCAAAATGTCCTTTATGTCTCTCATTCCTTTGAGGGAACTGCGCAGCTAGGAGTCAGCCACAGTGCAGCTGACTACACAGCCTACAGATAAACTTTTTCCTCCCCGTGAGTTCAGAATTGTGCAAGCCTGATTCAGCTGTAACGTCACCAAAGATGTCAATTCATTAGCTGTGGTGTTAATCAGAACTAGAATTTACAATTTATAACCGGCCATATAATTAACAGCTGGTAATTTAATCAGTCATGATTCACTTGCTTTACGTTCACTTTCAAAACTATGGTTACCTAAAATGTAAATGTATAAAAGGCTGTGATGTCACAGAAGTTACAATCCTTTTGGCTGTCTCCTGGTGCGTGCTGCTTCAAAATCCAGCACCATGTCCCAAGGAGGCCACCTAGCAAGGCTAAGCAGACCAGTATTAGGAGGTGGCAGACATCTGTACAGAACCTGAGCCTCCCTTTTCAGCCCCCGTAGCCCTTATCAAATTTACCTTTCTGAATAACAACCTGTAACCATCTGATCGCCTTCCCATGCAGGCCACGAGCTGGAGACATGACATCTAGACCTTGGTCCCTGCGTGCCCTGACTGCCCAGAGCTGGAGCTAATGCTGGGAGGCTGTGCAGAGGGGGCTTGCTCCAGCAACCTGGCACCGCCCGCCCCTCCCAGGAATGCTTCCCTCTGGCCCTGGCCTGGGAGGGCAGGGAGTGTGGGGAGAAGAAAGAGAAGTGACTGGCATGGCTGAGGTTCAAAGATGACGCCAAGGGACAAGGGTGCTGAAGTATGAGGGTCAGCATTCCTGTGGAATACAAACTCCTGGTCAGAGAGAAGGTTCCCAGTGCTTAGTTTTGCCCCTCCACTGCACGTGACTGAAGCTGCTGGAACTGACGGGGAGGTCACCCCTGCCTCTGGCCAGTTCCATCAGCACTGCCCGTGAGCCACACTTCACACGCCGACACCAGTCTACCAGTTAGTGGCTGGGCCAGGGCCAGACGCCGCTTGACTTCCCTGGCTGTGACAGAGGACGGCTGACAGCAAGACACTGAGTGTTTTGCAGCAAGGAAGTGGCATCTAGAATAAAGAATAGGGAATACACAGTTGACCCTTGAACAGCAGGAGTTTGAACCTCACAGGTCCAATTACACACAGATTTTTGTCAATAAATTCAGTAGCCACTCCATATCCGCAGGGCCCGCATCTGCAACCAAACTCAGACAGAAAACATTCAGAGGCCGACTTTCCCTACACAGAGGCCACTGCCAGACTTGAGTAGGCACAGGTCTTGGTTTATGTGGGGGCGGGGGGTGGTGTCCTAGGGCCAAGCCCGCATGTGTATCAAGAGATGACTAAATTAAACGTCCAATTCCAACATATGGAAGGAAAAGATGAATCTATATGAGCATTAGCTGCACAGTGGCTGACTCCCAACTGTGTAGTCCCGCATAGCCTGTGAAGAAATGAGAAGCAAAAAGGACACTTGGAATTATTGTTTCCACACTAAAAATAGTCTAACTGCTACCCCGTATCTATGCCCACCCTCCTGTCTATCTCCCTGCATGTATTTACCCACATACATGTATACATGCACACACCCGAAGCAGTGTTTGATAGCCATACTGATACATACTTTTTCAATCTTGCAAGTTATTTGCCAGGAAGATTATCAGTCAGCACACAAACATTGATTAAATAAATTCATTTATTTATGAACTCAGTCATTCAGTTATTGTGTTCATTCATTCATCATTTTTCTATTTATTTATTTATTTATTTATTTATTCATTATATTTGCCTCACCAAGTTTATAAAAGCAATACAGGTTATGGACTAAGTCCACAGGCATTTGACATTTTTACACAAACACTCGTTTTCAGCCTTATCTTCTTCCATCAAATCTTTTCTTTGTTCCTTTCACCCGACCTGGCTGCTGTCCCTGCTACCTCACACCCAGGTGGTGCAGCCCACAGCTGTCCCCCTGCCTCAGGCCAGCTTGTTGGGAGTGTCCTGTGTCCTTGCTGGTCAGCCCCACCTCACTCTGGGTTTGCACCTGAGACAGGACAAAGAAGCGTTTCCACAACCCAGCTTCAAGTTATCTTATCCTGAGGTGCCCTCTGTGTGCCTGGGGACCTCCCGGCACCCTTCGCTCAGTGCCCCCTGGCCTCTGACCTGTCCTGCACCTGCAAATCACCTGGCATGGAGCGCATCACGGCCAGAGCTGAACACCTGTCCTCAAGCATCTCAGGGTTCTCCTTGCCCATCATGTAAGCCGTAACCTCTGGCTGGCCCACACCTATGCTGGGGTTGATTTCTCTACTCCACTGACACAGCGTGTCTGTCAATAACAGATGGTTACATTGAAGAAACCTCTGGAGGAGGGGGTTCTCCTCCTCACTTGGCCCTCCTTATATTTTCATCATCTTACAAGCTTTTGCCATCCGTCCTGTCTCACCATAGATAGCCCCCGAATGATACTCCCCCATACACAATCAAGCCTTCTTGGCCTCTGTCTCCTCTATCGTGGGCTCGGTCAGTTCCTCACCTAAAATAGGAAGGTTTTCCTTGATGACCACCAGCAAGATTCCTCCCTCTCCCAAGATTTTGTGATTATCCATGATATCACAAGCCCTATATAACCATTTACCAAGTAGCTGTGCTCCACTTGTGTCATGAAGTGCCCTGTGCACCTGCCCTGGGTTACAAGAGTCCAATCGTAATCATGTTGAGATGTAGCCTTAGGGTTGTGGGATGCTGGAAAATGGAGGAGCAAACAATGCAAAGGGACAAGGAGCAATCCCAGATGCAACAGCCCCTTTTGAGCACATTCATCAGATGATCCTAAATCCTCAAGGATAGAGTCCCTGAGTACAGCAAACTCTGAAAATAGCAGCTGTCGGCATCAGTCGAAGTGCAGTCTTCAACTTTGGGCAAGAGTGATTTTTCACACTGTGGTGTCTTCAGACTCCCTCCCAGTACACAGAGGGCCTCACTGCTGTCACCAGCATCCCTTTGAACAAGAGGGACGTGATAGAACCAACGTGCGACCCAACACACATTCTGTTGGTTTAATGATGGTGTGTGTGTGTGTGTGTGTGTGTGCGGAGGTCCACCCCACTAGTTCTGACATGGGACTAGCCCTATGGATGACCTCAGTCTGAACTCCAAGGTGCCTACTTTCTCACTCTTCTGTTACTTTTTCATTTATTCACTCAACATACATTGCTGATGACCTACATGTCATTGCCAATACCTAGGAGAAGGACTGGGGATTCAAAGAGAAATTAAAAAACAAGACATGGTCAGGATCTTGCTCACAGTGTAGCAAAAGAAGAGAACATGCAAAGATGTAAATTGCAAGTCCCTCCTTTTTTCATTCACTCCACAAGTACTTCCTATGGTGCAGACAACGGACATTGTCTGCCTTAGTGGGGCCTCGTCGAATCCAACGGAAGAGGCAGACACTGACACATATCCACAGGAATGTCACCCTGTGGGACGTGATGAGGAGTCAGGTGGCTTTCTGAAACAGAGATGATTGAGGATACCCAGGGCAAGATGTGAGGGAAGAAAACTCCAGGTCAATGGGCCCACTGGGCAGGTAGAGGGATAGATGCTTAGACCAGAAGGGAGGATTAGTCACTCCGGGACTAAAGGCTCCATAAGGAGTTTTGGTTTTGTTTGGAAAGCATCGAGAAGCTTTTGCACATTTTGAATTTGCACTGAAAATCTCAGTCTTGCTGTTACATGGAAAATGGAGTTAACTGCCTGATATGAGTTGAAGTGTCTTCTCTTCAAATTCTTATGTTAAAGTCCTAACCCCTGTCACTTCAGAGGATGTGACCTTATTTGGAGATAAAGTGTTTGAAGAGACGATTAAGTTACCATGAGGTGTTAGGGTGAGCCCTTATTCAAGATGACTGATGTCCTTATAAAAAGGGAAATTTGGAGACGGATTCGCACACAGGGAGAACATCACGTGAAGAAGAAGGCAGAGATTGGGGTGGTGTTTCTAGAAGCGAGGAACTCCAAAGGCCGCCAGCAAACACCAGAAGTAAGGAGAGAACGTACTCTCCCTCAGCGTCCTTAGAAGGAACCAACCCTGCTAGCGCCTTGACCTCAGACTTCCAGCCTCCAGAACTGTGAGACGATGAACTTGTGTGGTTTAAACCACACCGTCTGTAGCACATTGCTGTGGCAGCCCTAACAGACAAATGGAAGGCTGCTCCCCACCAGGGTGATGGCAACAGCTACACGTGACTGTGTTTGGGAGAAATTTAAGCTGCCACACGACAGGCCTTGGTGGTGGTTTGTCCACAGGCAGAGGACAGAAGCTTCAAGCACAGGAGGCCCATGATGAGACTAATTCTATCTCAGGGACACATCAGCACAGGAAGGAGCCGCAAAGAAAATTTTAATCAATAGATCTGTAGTAAAATTTACAAATGAGCTAAAATGACAGACAAAGAAAAACACCTCTAATATCTCCATTGTTCCTGCTCTGGTGAGCAGCTTCTGGTCATCTTCCGTGTGGCTATGTTAACAGAGACTAAACTATATCTCTACATGCCTGATATTTTAATCAAGAATGTGTTAAAAAATTTCTTCCACACTTCAATAATATCCTACCAAATAAT